TCATTTGTCATGAGTAGAAGGGAAATAAAAATATTACAAATAGTTTCATAGGGAGCATTCGACAAATCGAGGTGTTTTCATTCGCCTAAACTGAAGCTGTAAGCATTTGGTGTTTAACTCATATGAATACTTTACTCTGTGGCACTGTTTTCAGGTTTCTTTAGATCAAAAACTGATGATAAAGCAGAATATGATTTGTAAATATTCAAAATTCCGTAAAATTTCTCATGAACAAAGCATTTGTAACAATGACAGTGCTCACGATTACTCAAGTTACTCTTCCGTTTCGAATATAAGTAACATCAATGAGGGAAATAGATCTTCATTTATGCTGTATCTTTAATTCATTGAGTTTGAGCCTCACAATAACACATAAGAGTGACGTTTCTTGGTTGACGGTATTCTTCACTTTCAGTGACATGCACCATTCTAGCTGTATACGAATTTATTGCTGTACAATTTCTTGTAAAAGCACAATAAAGACCAAATATAATTATTCAGAACAGTCTGAGGATATGTGTAGAGAGCAACATTCCACATTCAGGCATATTTAAAATAAAATTATCAAAATTCTAGTAATAAGAAAATATGACGTGATATATGTGTGTAATGTTAGTATTTATTGACTGAAATTTGTAACTCGTTCTCTGATTCCTACAGAACATTTAAGATATAATTAGCTCAAGATACAGTTATAATGTAATTTAAGAAGCCATCAATTCTATTTTGACCGAGGTTTTACTCCAGAAAACATTGGATAAATTCTCTTCATCATGTTCTACATACTTTCAGAAATGATTGGGTCGAAGTAGGAACTGATGACTGTGCTTAAACGCAGGTATTTTGGAACATGCATTTATGGTGCTTATCAACCAATATAAATACTTTAAATTCTTATATCACTGAAAATACTTTAGTTATCTATACGTAACTTTAAAAGTTACTGAATAAGGAAATTTGAGAAACACAGAACAGTTCTTAGATCATATAGGGAAAAATGCAACAAACAATACGACAAACAAGCCTTATATTACTTGGAAATTTTGAAATCAGCTGAGGTGTCAGGTTTTTGCCAATTGAAATTCTACCCTCGCGAATTCTGTTATGTCACATGGGTTGTTATTGTGCTGATAAAAGATAAAGATACCAAAACTGTAGAAAAAAGAAGACTGCTGCTGGTGGTGCTGGAGAACCAATTGAGGGATAGGTCGAAAGCTATAGAGGTTCATGCATAATAAGCTATTTGATGCTTCCTAACACCATTTTGATTGGCTAAAGAAGGAACAAAGAAGATCCATTCGTATCTCTGTTTTAGCACACCTTTTAAACGGTGAGCATAAAGTTGATATTAATACAGCAAATTTAATCATTGTTTGCATTCCAACTAGTCTCAGGTTTGCTATACCAGTTTATCTTTCACAAACAGCTGTAGCGAATAGAATCCACCTGAAGAGTTCGAATTTTTCTGTTCAGAAGAACATCAACAGTCGCTTTCTCTACTCTGAGCGTCATTGCATGAATGAGAAAATATGGCTACCTCACCATCACTGTAAGCCTTTTAAAAATTATAAATGTCCAAATTATTTTATTTTTCTTAATCGCTCATTGCATGATTGACTTGAACAATTGCCTATTCACAAATTAATCTACATTCTTCCGAAATTTCGCATTATGCAACGCACTTTTTATAACTATTTCTACCCTTTAACTTTTCTGCCAGTGTGCGTCGGTAGCACAGCGGTAGAGGGCTTGCCAACCACGCAGGTGGTCCAGGGTTCAATTACCCGGCCAGCAACACACTCCTTTACCTCGCTTAGCCAGAAATAAAGCTGGTAAAGAGGAAAGATTGGGCATTACTGCTACAGAAACTTCAGTGTTGCGGCTTGAAGCCTTATGAACTTAAATGAATAAAGAAATTCTCATAGCATACATATGCCTTATGTACAGTATTCTGCCGAGTAGTGCTGCCGAAATTTGATGAATTCATTAAATCCTGCTTACATAACCTTTTCGTTTGTTTAAATGATAGAAATCTGTGCAAAGGTTGTCGTGGTACATCTGTGGCCTTTGATCTTTACCATTTTAACAAACCTGAAAACTGAATTCAGTTTTTAATCAAAAGTAATAATTTATTTAAATCTGCCGAGTGTGCATGAAATGAATATACCACTACGGTTAGTCTAGGACGTGATAAATTCGCCAAATTACAGTCAAATGCCTCACAAGTATCCTCCCAATTGTCAGCAATAATCTCCGTCGTCACAGTAATTCAGATTCACTAAAATTCGTCGATTTAGTAACAGATGATAATGTATCCAGGAACAAAATGATATCTCTCGATTTCATGTCTCAGTGTTCCTCTCAATGAAACTGTTTGCTCTATACACGAATTCATCGACGATAATAATCTAAACGTTTGTATTCCATTTTGCCAATTAAAAGGACCTTCAAAGTCCAGTTCAAATTCGATAAGACGCTTTACGCAAAAAGTGATGAAGTGGTAGTGTGGTCACCAATGTATCCTTTTCTACGAGACTGCTTCTTCACAAGTCTGGGGAATAATGTGGTATAACTCACTATTAACAGTTTTTCATGTGTACCAAAGATACATGGATGATGCATCCACTTCCCGTTTAAAACAGAAATAAACTCCGAATTCCACTATTTTGAAGTATTACTGGTAATTCGTCAAACACAACTCCGAACTCTGTATACAGAGAAAATTTGTCTAGTTTCTTATTTTATAAAGGTCCTAACATTTTCATAAATCGTTCTCTGTGAATTGTCTGTTTTCATTTTCAGTGACTAGTTCGCTTTTTTTATAATTAATTTACTGTTATCCCACATTTAACTACCGTACTTCTCACCAGATAACAATATTTGATTTATAAAATCCTTAACCTTCTTCTTCGTATAAGATTGATATTGTTTGGAATGAAATAATTATTATACTATTATTCATTTGTAACATTCAGCATTACGTAATTTTTAAGTTTACTTTGAAGCTACTTGTGAGTAATCACAGCGATTATATAACCACCCATATTATTCAATAACCGACTACTGTACAATTCCGGTAGATAATAATAATAGGTTGATTGTGCCTCCGAAGATGATTCCATCGGTATAAAAATTTTTCAAAATAGTGGATACTGAGAAAAGAGTACTCTTTTCAATAACTTCATCATCAGGCTCTACAGTGATATATACATTATAGTGAATGAATGAATTAGTGTTATGAACAACATTATAGTTTGTTTAAATGACATCAAATCAATAATAATGATAGATTACAGCTCAATAGCATCAACATAAAATAAGCTGAATATCAGAAAAATTAGGAAAGATAATGTTACAAATTCATGAATTTATAGTCTCTACTGAAGGCCGCCCATGGCTGTAGTAGTGACTGGCTGTACTCGCCTCTTTTGAACGCAGAGCACTGAGTGTTTGAGGCGAATCGCAATAGCCCCTGCTGTTCGGAGCGTGCGGTGCTTTGATGATTTTGGCAATTTATAAGGCACCCGTTATTATATAGAGAAGGATTCTTCCACACTGGCTTTGTAGCCGGTTCGTACCAGGTGGTCCAATATCGAATTGTTAATAGTTTTCACTACACCTTTAATTAGCCATGCTGGGAGATGTTCTCGAGCACGAAAAATCAAGTTCCCAGAGCAACGGCCAATACAACTCCCTCCACAAGTGCAGTTGAATTGATAAATACAATTTGAAGTGGCTAGTCCAGGTACTTCATCTTCTAGTCGAGGAAGTAGCATCGGTCGTGTAGAGAATAAGAATTAATTTTCTTAATTTCCTCGTAATTATCTCACTTGATATATCACCCTTGATTTGTAGTCGTATATAAAGTGGCTTCTTGTTTACAGATAGTGAGTAGTCGTTTTCCGCTTTCTTTGTCATGTGTTTCCTGATAAATGTTTCCGAATAGCTTTTTCGATCAAAGTATCACATACAATGCTTAATTCATCTTCAGTTACTTCTTCTGGGCATATAGCTCTACCTCTATGGCTGAGGATCTTTACTAAATTTTTTTTGTACTTGAGAGGAATGAAGCTGCGAAAATGTGTATGTTGTCCTCTCCAAGTGTATTCTTCTATGCAAATTTCTTTTTACTCTACTATCTGGTTTTCTTGTAAGAAGGACATCGAGGAAGGCAATTCTGTTTTAAGATTCCTCTTCGCATGTGAATTTCATAGCTGAATTTACTCCATTGAATTCAGTAATTATTGTACTTCTAACAGATCCATTATCACAAAGAATAAAAGTATCATTAATATATCGGCAATAAAATGAGAGCTTACTGATTGGGTTGTTCCGAGATCCATTTTTTAGCTTACTTAGAAAGAAATCAGCCAGAATCGGATCCAATGGGTAGCCCATCGCCACCCGTGCACTTGTCTGTAAATCGTGCCGTCAAATTTGAAGCTTACATTCATGGTACATCTCAATAATTTTTTTCCTGAATTTTCCTTTTAATTTTTTCATGGTTAAGTGAGCACTTTGGGTGTTTTGAGCACCTTTTTTATAATTCTAACTATTAAAAAATGTCAAATATAAAACTTGTATGATAGCAACAGCCTTAGAATCTGATGATGCTTATTATTAAATTTCAAAATAAAATCCTTAGCAAATTATTGTAACAGGCTGCAGCTTCTACTTGAGAATTCTAGACCTTACAAGCACCCACATCGTTGACAAACTTTGTGAGTCATAGACAGAAATGGACACTAGAATCAACTAAATTTCGACTGAAGTTTGGGTGTGACCATGTGATGTATTCGAATTTCTTACAAGATGATATTATTAGAAGCTTTATAAAACATGTCTCGAAACCTAAAATCACATATAAAAACGTGTGGATGTGTCTTGATCGTTTTTCAGTAACATGCTAACATTGGTTGTGATATGTGTGGGCGTTTATGGCTGTGTGCATACCAGTATACATATAAATACTACTTTGTTCAGACAAATCACCATTCGGAATGTCACACGTTTTGATTATACTACTAACTGTGTGCATTGTTTTCAGTGGAATTGTGTTCGGAGGTGGTAAGTATTTGTTTTTATCTAAGATAGTTATAATAATAAGAATATTTTGAATCCTAATATTCATCAGTTTCTTGAATTTGATGAGTATGGTCTGCCTTGCAATCATCAACAACTAGAAATAAGCAACCGACTTATCGGATGGATGGGGGTTGATAATGAAAAAATTTGATCGCTCTGTTAGCTGTCTCACTTATTTACTTACTTTGATGGTATAACTGAAAAATGTGTTATTTTAGGATTGACGTTATCACTGAAAACTTTGCGGTTTATGATACGTAGTGAGGTTTACTGACAGTAGAAGCATTTTTCAGAGTAATTAGTAGTATTTAAAATCATATGCGAGATTAAGCCGTGGTTAGATTTCTTGCTCTGCTTGTTTTTTCTACACTCAATTCTATCGAATAAGTCAAGCAATTTTTATACGTCATTCTCGCAGAATTCTCACAAATGAATAGACAGTGGCATTCATGTATTTCTGACTGTCGATTCCTCGAGAATCTCGTGCATTATGAGATGATGTATGTTTTCCAAACGTTTTCTTTTAAAGGCAGTAACCAAAAGTCTTGCGATGATTTAAGTAAGCTACATATATTATTCCGTAAAAAGTAAACTGAACGTTAAGTGTTAACACAATTATTATGTTCATACATTTGGTTCCCTTGATAAATTTCGATAAAGAAAGGAAGACGAAATTTGCAGTATAAAATGATATCATTCTATTTCACAGGTTCTCATCAGCTGCAGACTACCTTAAATTACAATGGTTATATAGATGATAATAACATACTTTACAATTATTATGAACGGAATTTCATCAGATGCATGAAAAAAAATTAAACTTAGAAAGGCTGAGTTTCCCACATGTAAACACCCACTCTTAAGTACAAAAAGAGTGGTGTTCGTCAACAGAATAAACAAAACAGTCATCAGGTTTGTGTATAATAGTATTAATAATAAGGCTTTATTTCAGATAATATGCGAACATATGATATGAAAACTTTCAGCGTACTCAGTTTGAAAATACTTTTTCCTTCATACAGGATTTACATGTGAACTAACAATCTGAAAGATGTCTGCATTTCGTTAAACTGTTGCACGGCGTTTACTTGGAAACAAGTTAAATCCGCGAACAAGTTCATGTATAGGTCATCTGATATAACTGCACGTTTAAAACAATGATAAATCAAGATGAGATGAAGCATTCTGATGGGAAGCGATTTTGGTAGCCTAGTGATTTAAGCAGGCCACTTACACACAATAGCAACACATAATGTCATCAGGTTTGGAAACAGGATTAATATTTCTCTTAAAAGATTCAGGGATTTGAGAGGCAGATATACTCCAGTGTCCGAAAGAGAGTATTACTTTACTGAATTCATCTGTTCGTAGTAGTGTTCATGATACGACCATTCAGATTTTCAGTAATCATACAATTGAGATCATTACCGAATTACGATTTTCTGAATTATTCAGAGAAAGAGATACAAACGCTACGTAAGTTATGCGTTTTACATTTGAGTTCGATATCAGTGTTTAAACAAAGAAGACATTGCTAAAATTAATAATAGAAATAGTTGTTTGAATGCATATTACAAGGAATGGAGAATGAAATCATAATAAAACACTGGTTGAGACTATTTCTTGCAAGACTGTTGATGTAAATATTTTGAAGGAAGTAGTATCTGATATAAGGAAAAGTCAGTCCTGAAATATATTGTTAGTCATCTGAAACTGATAAACGCAGTTCTTGTTTAGGTATTTTACTGAAAGCATTGAATTATATCGGTGTATAAGGTAAATAAAAGATGTATTTGTTACTCCTCCTTAACGTATAACTAAAAGATACGTTGAATACACTTACAGCCTTTTAAATATTTGCCAATGTGAATTAAACATTTGGAGATGTATGTGATTCCATTCAAAGATAATAAGACTTCTGTACTTATTAATAATCACTTCATTTAGGTTGACCAACATTTGAATATTCATTTGGTTACTGATAGGTTAGCTCACTATTTCGTATAAATAAAACTTATAATGTACACATATGATTCGATTCAATTTTGAAGTGACGAATGCCAGCAGTAAGTCATTATGGTCACAGTTTGATAAAGTCATAATGCAGAGTCAAAAACTGAGTGAATATTATATTGTTCACAAAAATCTACCCAATACCACATACTGGAGAGAAAATTGTTAACATTTTCGTCACCAAAACGTTCATTACTTACTCAATATATCAGTTAGTGTTATTATAATCTGCCTAAGCCATTACCTCATTCGATTATTACGGCATGATTTACTTGCCCAGTTCATCTTCTCAGAAGTGCTAGAAAATATTCTATTTACCCTCCTCATAATCCCATCTGACTGGGAGTGACTTACTATGGATTTTGAGGTACTAACCCATACACAATCAGTAAAAATGCTGTGGAAATAATATTCTCATTTCCGAATTGCCTCGTTCTAATCCTGTCGAAAAAAAAGTGCAACCTAAGAAAGAGGTTGAATTTGTCTAACTGTTACAGTCATATAAATGATTCAAATGAACTGAAAATCATTGACCCTGAATTTCAGTGTTCACTTTTGGTCACCATTTAGCAGCATTAATTTTCTGTGAAATAAACAGACCCTAATATTATTTCACATGAAAAGCATAGACTGCTGGAAACTCCAAACAGATTATTTTAGGAATAAAAATGGTCTAAACTGACGTCCCAGATCTGACCTAAGTTTTAAAAGCAGTTGATTCGACTGCTCTGCCTTAATCAAGATTTTGTGGTTATTGCAATCAGGCCTTTAGAATTCATTCTGACAAAAAGGATTTGATCGATTGTTCATAAATGGCCTTTAAGCAGGTTTTAATTGCACTTCGCATTATTCTGAATGGAAATGGCCAATTACAAAACTTATAATCCACTATCCTGAATAATAATGAAACTCTGTTCTACCATTGATATACGCACTTTAATATCTTCTAATAGTTTAATCGACTTACACATTATCACAACAATAACCTTCAACAATTGACAGCATGTAAAAGTAGGTATCTTAGCTCAGTAATTGCTTTTATGTGCGAATAATTACTTTTAATTTCCACGTGTACACTCACTTCTTGTCATTTGCTTGATTCTTATGTCACAGCACACTACTACAAGAAGACATGAAATTCCTTCACAATCTAATTTAATAATCAAACATGGAATCCACTGCTGAAGAAAAAGTGTGTTTATGTGGTTCAATCTGATTTAACTGTCTGAGTATATGTAAATATAGTTTAGTTTATTCGAGTTCATTTTCGAAGATGTTTGCTTTGAATCAGTGAAACGTCTTTCTGATGTTTAGTTCACTTCCATACTCTAGTACCCACGAAATGTAGGCCTATCCGTTATTGCTGGTTAGAGTATTCAGTCTGCTTGAGTAGATTTGCTTACTAACGTAAGTTTATACAAAGTAGAATCTGATGAAGTCAAAACATGTGAATACACGTTTTGAAAAGATTAATTGGTGGATGGTGACTTGCAGTGGAATTCAAGATGCGCATTTCGTCCAATTTGGACTCGTCATCTGGATGTGCCTGCATACCCCAGTGAGTGGTGATATTTCCATCGAGGCTCAAACCAAGTGCCCACAATTTCAAACACCAAAGCGTTATCCACTAGACCACTTTAGCCACGACAGCAATCATAGGGAAATCTAAAAATTCAATTTAACACGTTCATAAGGTTAAGACCCCTCTTGAAGAAGAACATGCTGATAATTAGTCCAAGTCTCATAGAAGGAATCTGACTGCTGTTGCAAACATTTAAACAACATTCATTTATTCAGTTTACACTTAAATGGAATCTAAATCATTGTTTACTTACAATGATATTTTCACTTATTCAACATTTACAAGAAGAATGTATCAAAGCATATGAAATTTACATTTCTGACCCATGGAACAGAAGTAGCTGGTAAGTCCTGTAGCACAGTTTATAAGCATTATTTTGGAATCGTGTACCTTGTACAACTTGAGGCTTTTTACATTTGTAACGCATAATAATAATGCCACTTTGGTTACTGAAACTTTGTTACATACGCTTTAGAAGACAGAAAGATTGAGCGAAGAAATATTAACTTTTCAATTATATCCTCATTTCTGGCCCTTTTTTAATATATAGAGCATTTTTATTTATTGTATTGTAATAAAAATGTTATATATATTGGAGTAGAGCCAGAGATGAGGATCTAATTGAAAAGTTAATATTTCTTCGCTCAATTTTTCTGTTTTCTAAATGTCTAAATGGGCACATACTTTACTCAAAAAATCTAAGATGAACTGTTCTTGATCGATGAAAACCTGCAAAAGGTGAAAAAACGTTTAAAAGGAGATTCCTTACTTAGAATTCTCATAACAGAAATATTACAGTAATTAAAACAATACAATTTGAGACCGCATTTATTTTGACAGTTGCATAAGAGCAAATTCAAAGGAGCATATTCCTTCTTTGTTATATAGGCACACTCCCAGAGTTTTCATTGGGCTTTGACTAAATCACGGACTCCGAATTAGCTATGTGTCAATAAAGTTCAATGGGTTAAGTTTAGTGTACACTTTACAAAAATTGTGTCATATGCGTATATGAATAACAGCAAAAGGTTAGACAAGGAAGCCAAGGTACATCGTCCACCCATCAAACCGCTTTTTATAAACACACAGTTAATATTCTGTAACCAATCGATGAGCTTCTGATTTTGGTTCACATTAAATGACATGAAATAGAACGTTCAGATGCACATAGTATTTTTTGCTAATACAGCATTGAACTATGAAAATATGTGAGAATAATATCCCGTTGTAACACACAACGTCTGTATCACACCACCCCGAGATTAAAGTTTACACCTGTATATAAATCCAAATTAACTTTTGAAATAGAACTACAGGAACATTTTCAACAGGGTTATACATTCGTCATTTTAGCTGAGAAGATTGTACACTGTGAGTGGGATTAAAGTGTTCATTTCAAAGTTTTGACTACTATTAATAATGAAAATTAAATGTTGTTCCAGTTAATTTTCAGTGTGGAAGAAAGTCAGATGTTTGAAATCGAATATTATTGGCTGAAAATACAAAATCACTTCAATATTTTACTGAGTGTCATGAATTTTAAAAATGCACTTCTGATCTTTTAGGTAACTAAGTTGCATTTCTATTTAATAAAGAAATTTTTCTAAGTTTTAAAATTTTTGAAAAACAGCAGTCTTCTCAAAACGCAACCTTTGTCTCACAGAATCATGACTACTGTTTCATTTGATTTTATGTGTTGTCACGATGTCATTAATGATTCATCATGATAACCAACTATAATGTCCTGATTATATCAGATTTAGAAGGTAAGTCACCTAGCGGTGAAATAATTGTGATCTGCCTCTATTAGTGATGCTTACAAGGCACAAGAATCGCACCATATTGAATGCTATGGTATCATATGAAGTGTCTGCAAATTAAGATATTGTGAGGTTAGTAGGTGGTGTCACATGATATGAATGAAATCCATTACATCCGTCTTGTAATAAAAGATTGCCATTCGCTGAGAAATTAAAGCTTCTCAATGAGTCTGAAGTTATCACTTAGCAAATGAATTGGGAGGCAAATACATGCAGGGAGGCTCTTGTGCCTGAGTGAACTTTGCGGATTTAAATTGCCATTCACCAAAACATATTAGAGCTTTTTCATCCGTATATTCATGTGAACAATTATGGTGAACTTTTCAAACTTCTCACACAGATACTGATGGCAAGAGACAAGGTAAACTTCTGTTTATAATCAAACAAACGTTAATGATCATGACAACTCCTCGCAAACGACCATTTTTTACCTTATTTCTCCGTAATACTGATTAAACTATGACAGCTAAGCCCATCAACATCCTGTTAACTCATAAAGCTTTAACTGTTACAAAGAGTAATTCGTTAGGCACCTTGCCTTAAGAAAAAAATGTAAATCAAAGCGAATGTGATTAAGTATGCACTACTTTACAGTTATTGTGACATTGAAGCTAACTAGGAATGATTCGTCCCAGTTTGAAAAGTTAATGACTTCTTGCTCGCAATGAGTTAAATTATAAGCGTTATTTGATATATCTCAAAGGTTAATGTGTATTCATTTTGTCAGCAGGTCAACCGCCAGATGATCTTCCAAAATGTGAGTCTTTTATTTCTAAAAACTACTATACTCTTTCAAAATTTCTCTTTTTGTCCGTCAACTTAAATGGGATTAAGTGTAACTAGATTTTTTAAAACTTTAGTTGACCATCGTGATGAACATTTCAACTTTTTCTCTCATTGTCCTATCTAAATTCACAGCAAATATTCCTCCTTCATTGTATTTATGAAGGACCATATTCAAATACAGGCGTACTTGCTGAACGTTTATTTTACTAATCGAACCTATTGCAACATGTTGCGTACAAGCAGTTGTCCACCAAGAAGTAAAGCAATTATGATGTGTTAATGAGGAGACCACATTCTGCCTGATACAAAATGTCGTTGAAATAGGCAAAAGTAACCTAGATATTTTATGCAGACATCCTTCTGTGACTTTTAAAGTCTTCATAATTTGTTTGAACGTATGCGATAAAAACTACAAAGTCACAAGTTCGTTAATCACAAAATATACAATCCAATGAATATTTGAGAAGGTTACGATTGAGTGAATCTACAATCTCCTCATATTTGTTGAATTTCAACACCTTCCTTCGGAATGCATTAGCTTTGATGAAACATGCAGAAACATGCGTTAATCAGTTTCTACAGTAAATGTTTTAATATTATAATGTGTACGTAAACCTCACAGAAAATATATTACTTTTTAGTGGGCTAATAATCGGAACAAACTGATGAACCAGGGCAGTTTATTAGCTTTTTTCAACAGTCTTCTACAACTGCAGAGAACTTCTTTCGTCTTAGAAGCGCCATATAAATAATTTTTGGAAAGAGCGAATGTAATCTGTCGTCTCATTCATAATAATTTCAAATGAAAAGAGACGCAAAATAACATTATTTGATAGTATTACAATCTTGTTTTATTGATTGCTTTAAGGTTCTAACGTGAGAGACTGTAAGTTCATGGTACACTTAGCAGACACTTCATCTACGACAATGATTTCAAATTTGTGAGATTCAGTAATTGGGACAAACAGATTACGCTGATTATTTTAGCTCCTTATAGATATGACATTGTTCGATTTTGATGAATTAAAATTTATATAATATTCTTCAATACAGAGAATAATAAAATTTGAAGAATTAATCAATATGATTCCGTGCTTGTCGTTCTTGTGACTTTCTGCTTTGTATTTCAAATGGAATGAACTAATCTAAGTCATATTACAAGAGCAATAATTTCTTTAAAAAGTACTGGAACTAACTTTTTTCTTGAATTCTACGCATAATTTCTTAGTATTACATGTCAAAGCACCTAATCGACCCCTGCGCATAACAACGAAGGTGTTTAAACAGCCTCCTGAACTTTGCTAATGAACCTGAATCCAGAGCAGGTTCAATAGAATTTTTATTTCCTTCATCAATAAATTCTGTTCCACTACCTTAAAACGAATGTAGACGCCAATTCAATCACGATGCTGTGGGTCTGCACAGTTCCAAGCGCAGATGTAAAACTTTTTTTGATTTTTCTCACTTTTGGTCCGATCTATGGTGAAATGATGTAGCCTTCTTAAAGCAGCGTTCGCAACAGCACTTTGTGAAAAGTTTCTCCCTCACATAAGAAGAATAGGAAATATCTACAAAACGATTAGATATATGTAAAAGGAAATAAATGGAAGGGTGTGAGTGGGAGTCAAACAAGAATTTCCCCACTATATGTATATTAACAGCATATATATGTATCAAACAATCAGTTTTACGAATTTCAGTGCTTTTATTAGGTATCGAAATGAACGCACACACCATATATGATGATCTATTTGAGAAGAATAATCAAATTTTGAAATTCAAATACAATCAGGAAGTTGCCTATTTTGCTTGCCAGTCGGTCTCTTTTTTGATTGCAGCTTGATTGCACGCAGTACTTTTTCTTTAGTAGATGTAAGGAATTTTCAGCATGCGATATTGGTAGCCCAAATTTTGCAGACTGACCACTGATACCGGGTGTGCGTTGGTGGGAGGTCGAACTCCGTACCATATTCATGGTCACCGAGAGTCTTAACCCCTGTGCCACCGAAGCACAGATGATCGGATAAATGGAAACATTCAAATTTCACATTTCTGAATGGTATTTATGGCATACATTTTGGATTGTTATTTATTTCAAGTAATGAACATAAGTGGGATACCAGAAGTCAGTGAGTTAATCAGTTATTACGATAAATGTTTGCTGTTATCTGGTGATATGTTTCTGAAAATTCGTATGCAAGTTCAACACAATAATTCAATTGATTTTGATGAAAACACCTATCCAAGTGTTAGATAAAGCTTTCATCTACGGATAGCATACGGACATGATAAAACCAAGGTGAATCGGCGCCTAATTTTGAGTCTCTGGTGATAAAAATTCGACACAGCTTCTTTTTTAACCGGATTATTGAGTAAAAAAATGCATCAAAGTTTGGTCATTTTAAAGTAAACGGAACCTATCAGTAATGTAACGAATATTGTGCCGGATAGCTGGAACTGGTAGACTTAAAATTGCAATGATAAATAATCTGATAGAACAGTATTTCAGATTGTGAAAAGATCAAAGTTCAATAGGATTTGTGGAAAATGCGATTAATCTTCAGACTGATGGCAGCCTCACCAATTAAAATTTCATAAAAAATATTTGTTTCATAAATGTAATAGTCAGCTTTCCACATATTTTTACTTATGTTGAGAATTTTATACCTATTTCATTTATTTCCCATTAGAAACGGTGCCAAAAACTTAAAATGGTTATTCATCCTTTTATAAGGGTAACGTCGTAATATTATAATCATCATTCATAGTAGAATACCATGTATTGCTCTTGGTTAATTTTCTGTGTTAAAAACATGCTCTTCTTCAAAACATAAAATAAACAATTTGTGTCATCTTCTTTGAAAAATGTTTTTCCCTTCGTTATTTTGATATGATTTATTACAGTGAATTAGTCGCTATAGTGACCTTAAAGAAAGGTATATGAGACACTACCCACTTGTAAACCGAGTTAAGTGAATCCCACTTATAATGCCCAAGAGCTTCTTTCTCTATCTGATTCTCGTATGACTGTACGCATCATGAACAGGTGATTGGGATTCTTCCCCAGTAATTGCTTCTTTCATTATCCCTGTGTTTTAACTTTATCACAGTAATGAATTAGATCTAAAACAATGCACTGACAAAAATTAAAAACAGTTCACAAAATGAAAAGATACGAAATGAATCCAGCAAAGTATGACTAAATTCGTTGAGTTTTTAACGTAGAAAAGTGCACTAAAGACTCCTGCTTTCAGGAATTATTTTAGCCTATTACTTCAAGTTAGCTAAATGGTAATGACTAATAGTGGAACACACTAGCTGTATTTTACCTTGCTGAAAAATTCTATACTGTTTTACCCTCACTTGTGTTAGTTTGAAAGTTCAAATGTTCGTTTTTTTCTGTGAAAATTGAGAATTCTGAGAATCTGACATGGACTTGTGTGATAAAATGACATCATCACGTTCCTGGATGTGAAATTGCTGCAAACCATCAATATCTTTACAACTAACAATCATTATTTACTAAGGAAAATGTCACTGCAGTATTATTCATTGCATCTCTCAAACAACGTGTTTACCTTCAGGTGATTAGGTGTGTAAAAGGTGTAATACTGAATGAGTGCTTAAATAAGAGAAATAAATCAGTCATCAAGCCCATGAAATCGATTACATAAGAGCAGTTAAAGAAGAAAGTAGCACAATCCTAAAATCAATAACAACTGTTAAGAAACATTAGATGTAGAAGAAAAGTGTAAGATTATGCACTGATATCAAAGTGATAATGATGATAGTGACAGCTTTATTCGGGAAATTATCTATTGACACAACTCAGCCTAAATACGGCTTAGAACATGTAGAGAATAGTAGCTCTCCGTATGGAGAGTTTCATGAATAGAGATTGAGATCCAAAGACACCATTTGAAGATTGAAGCAACAGGAAGAGGAGAAAAATAAGTATATTATAACTAAGAAATAACGTCTGCTGTATGTAGCAGGTTACTATGATCGGCTTAGCAACAGTGAGAGTATGAAGCATATTTTTGAATGTGTCCTTAATTTCCTTTGCTGCATATCACATAAAGTGTGCTAAAATAGAGCAGTGAATAGATATGGTTCCTCTCTAGCCGTGTGTAATCATTTTCGAAAATTCTGTGATACAGATGCCTGTTTGTACACGCAGTGTATGAATTGTCTCAGGTTCAGTGAACCTTTTTGAATATTATATTAGTTGGACGTGAGCTTGGTTTACCTGTCAAAAGATAAAGTGACACTGAGGCATCGAGTTCCCATTTCAAAGCAGGCTTTAGCCATTTTGTTTATGGTCTGACACATAGCTGTGTTCGAAGTTTAAAGAGTTACCAAACTATTAGTTCCAATGTATCAGGAGTGCTCACCGTTATACATCATTGTGTATTCATACTAAGATGTATATAAATGCTCCTGCATTCAAAAAGTACAAAATTTGAAATGTCATATATGTGGACATTACTAGCATTATTTATAGTCTTCAGTGGGGTCGTTCTCGCAGGAGGAAGTGGAGGAGGTAAGCATTTGTTATAGTGATACCTACAGAAGTTATCCTATTGAAAGTACTTCATAAAGTGCTTCTCATCAGTATGTTATCAAATAAATCATATGATTCAACTTAGAACCTTCGTCAAGAAGAAATAAGCAATTAAATATTTCCATTCACCAGTGTAGACTTATTTACTTATTATATGATCGATCTGTGTGTTTCTCATTAGAAATTAAAAGTAATTAATGACTGTGCTATTGAAACAGGAGTCATCAACAAAATCAGTTGTTTCGTGAATTACTGGAATTATGTATGACCAGTTGTCAAATATCACTTTAAAATAATCGAAGAGATTTGTAGCTCAGGTGGATGGTTTCGATAAGTTTATATCTATTTGTTTTTATAAACATGTGAAATGATGTGGTTTCATCAGAATAATAGTATCAACATGCATTGACCCATTAAGTAAGGTTAGGAGATTGTAGATTACACAAAGTATTATGCTTTCGTCTTCCTATACACTCCTGGAGACAAAAGACATTTTTCTAAGATGATTTGTTAGCTTGTGGAAAGGTGTATACATATTTTTTTATTACAGCTTGATTCCACACAGTGTTTTTGGTACAAGTATGAAATTTTCAGCATTTGATATCGTAGAACAAATTTCGCAGGCCAACCATAGATATTATGTGTGCGTCAGCATGGGTCGAACCCCCGGACCATGTGCATGGTCGGCTAGAGTCATAACCACTGTGCCACCGACCGTAGAAGACGAAAGACCAGGTAAAGTAATGTTTGAATAAGTAATTTAGAAGGCGAATTTCGAGAGATGATATTATTTCGTAGTTTCTTTGCAACTGCTTTACAACTATCATGGTTAACCATGATATCATCTTGTGAAATTTGTCTTCTAAATGCCTTATTCAAAAATATCAAAGTAACTAATTGTTTTATTTTTCTGAATTTTGTGTTTAGTAGGAAACTAGTATCTCTATGTAGCCAAATTATGTAAACCCTATCTTCAGCGCACTATTTGCACAAATCTTTTTGTTGCAATCCTTTTGGACTTACTGATGTGCTTCATTTTGATCCTTTTCCATTTCCCATGTATCTCCAACATGCTCTATCATTTGCCTTCTCTGAAATCAAATGTATCTTTCTATTATCTGCTGTTTCTGCACCGATAAACGTCTCTTTATATGATAGTGATAAGTCTTATCAATATGATATCATTTTCACATGAAAATGGAGTTCCAACCAAATACATCACCAAGGTATAATATGTCCATAAAATCACTCATAGTCGGGTTAAAACAAACATTAACAGATTGATAAATACATACCCCTTTATAGGTTTTCTTTTTTCTCCTAATTGGCTCATCATACTCAACTGAATCTAGAACAAAATGTGGCATAACTCAGTCGTTTGTAGCGCTCATATATGCAGATGGGAAGTAGTTTATTTTTAAAATGAGAAGTCAGAATAGCAGATATTCAAAATTGAGAAGGAAAGCTCCCTCAATATCCTGCTCAGAATTTGATATTGTGAAGCAAATGAACCATTTTTAGAATCAACCATTCATTTAATTTGATTACTAGTGTGATTTGAACACATCCTCTAACTGTTTCCTGTTAATTTCTATGTGAATTATATTTCCTCTTTTCATGCATCGATGAGATACTTGACCTCTAAAATGTTTCAGTTTTTATAACAACCCTTACGTGTGCACGGGTGAGAAGACAATAACCCGATCATAATCAATTAGAAATTTATCCCTACTAATTGTGGTTAACCTATGCGAACTATTATTACCTACAAGGTTGTAAATTGTTCAGTGTGGTAATCTTTGTGTAACTATTCATGCAAGCTGTCCAGAAATCTAGAACTTATTGCGCGTCAGTGGAACAGCGGTTGACTTTTGCCAATCATGCACATGGTACAAGGTTCGATCCCCTGCAACCGCACACCTGATATTCATGGTCGGCCTGTATAATTCGAGCTATCGATATCCCATGCTGAAAATTCCGTATTTGTACCGAATTACTGTGTTGAATCAAGCTATAGTCCAAAAATAAAAAATTAAACTTATTTTGATAGCGTTATTAGAAGACGGAGACTATCTGAAAAATGTGATGTATTAGCGCTATACATCTCGAACAATCTGATCACACATTTACTTGTCAAGTCAATATATATAGAAAGGTTATATTAAACAAAGTAAGAGAAAACGGAATTAAGAATAATTAACACAAACGTTTGGTAATCCAATCAAATAAGGATTATCAAGGTAGGTTAAGAGTAATAACAAAGTGTTTTGAATACACAAGGGGGGCTTAAGTCTATGAATAGCTATAGCCTCAGCGTATTTCAGTAAACGTCCTTCACCATTTTTATAGATGACCTTAAAGGCTGAGTTAACATCAATCTTATGGTTCATCTCGATTAGATGTTTAGCTATAGACGAAGTTGGTAGTCCGACACCTGCATCTATTGGCTTGTCACAATTCATCTGTTTTTATAACCATTTTGGGATATGCTCTCCCACCCTCACGTGCAAAGCGCCATTACTCCCCCCTATGTATGTCCACACACACACGAAAATGGGTAAATTGTGTGGGATGTGATATAATCACTTGTGCACTTTTGAGGTTTACAGTGAATCATATTTTTAGCTTTTTCCACAATCACAAGCTGGGCTGCATAGTAGGTTCTACGGATGATTAAATCCAACCTTTGTCACACAATCCTACTGTTTATTTCCCTGTTATATGGTAATTTGATGAAAACCTTTTTTCTTAGGGACGGTATGGATTGTGGGTTTAGAGACCAGAGAGAAGTAAATGTATGACCAGATTTTTCGAAATGTATAGCGCTAATATATCACATTTTTCAGATAGTCTCCGTCTTCTAATAACACTATCAAAATTTATAAAAGGGACTAATTGTTTTAAATTAAACTTATTCCAAATTAAAACAATTAGTCCCTTTGATAAATTTGAACAAGGCATTAAGAAGACAAATTTCCCGAGATGATATCATTTCGTAGTTTCTTTACAACCGCTTTACAACTAGCATGGTTAACAATGATAAAATACAGTTCATGAAAATTACTCAGTTAAATAAAAACAAAAGTATATACTAATGACCAATCATATTTAGATAGGTCATGCAGTCCAGGGTAGGCGAAGATTAAAGTCTATTGATTTTTGCACACACAGTTTAGGCTGTATGTGATTAATCCAAAGTGCTTCCATCACCTTCAATAACCTTGAATTACAGTTATGTGAAACAGTCATTAATATTTATTTTGTGACCAGACATTAATAAGTGTTTTGCAATGGATGATGTTGGATTTCTATTAAGATTAATCGCGTTGGGATTTTCGATATGATTTACTAGCCATTTTCTCACTTGCCGAACATTTTCGATCCCTGTTCCTACGATTAAAGGACGAAATTCTGTGGACTCTACTTCAAACTGTATCTACAAGTTCACCTGCAGCTGCGGTGACACCTATATAGGTAGAACTAACAGAATGTTACAATGTCGTCGAAAAGAACATGTTCCAAAATGGCTAGTAAATCATATCGAAAATCCTAACGCGATTAATCTTAATAGAAATCCAACATCATCCATTGCAAAACACTTATTAATGTCTGGTCACAAAATAAATATTAATGACTGTTTCACATAACTGTAATTCAAGGTTATTGAAGGTGATGGAAGCACTTTGGATTAATCACATACAGCCTAAACTGTGTGTGCAAAAATCAATAGACTTCAATCTTCGCCTACCCTGGACTGCATGACCTATCTAAATATGATTGGTCATTAGTATATACTTTTGTTTTTATTTAACTGAGTAATTTTCATGAACTGTATTTTATCATTGTTAACCATGCTAGTTGTAAAGCGGTTGTAAAGAAACTACGAAATGATATCATCTCGCGAAATTTGTCTTCTTAATGCCTTGTTCAAATTTATTCCAAATTGGTTTCTTTAACCAATAGTAGTGATTGGTCATTCTATGCTGTTGATCCACTCAGATTACTTTGAAACCTGAGGTTTTATAAGTCATCGACGAAATGACTTGTTTATGAAAAAAATGTTTATGATTTTCAAGGTAGCAGTGAAGATCGTTGCAAGAATTTAAGTAAGTGAGATATTTTTTGATATATAAATCAATGAATTTATGAGTTTTAATGTAAGCAACATTATGATGAAATGGATGTAAATAAACTCAAGAAGGCTACTCATGTGATATGGATCATGATTCGTTAAAACATGATAAATATAAAAAGCTTTTAGCAGATTACTTGCCACCAGCTAGAAGAGGCTATGAGGAGCTGTCAGTGTTTAATTGTAGTAACTTTCGTATGACTTATTAACTATACTCTTATTCATTTGAAAAATGCATGATTCAAAAACTCCACAAGGAAGTGAAGTGGCTCAGGTATTGATTTTTCAGATAGTTTTAGTTTCCTCATTATTCTGAATGATGTTCAGTTGATGCTGTTGGCGGTTATCATACATTCACATGATCGTTTGAGTGATAATATTTATACCTATTCAGAAAATCAATTAACTGAGTTGCGTGAGTCACCAGTTCAAATTTGAGTTAAATGTTACTGACTGTCGTGTTTACATTTTAATTCTTGGGGACTTGTACAAAGTATTCACTTCGTTTGGTTTTGTGTCAGTCAAATCCTGTAGGAGTATTAAAATTTTACCATCACAAATTAAAAATGAAAACAGTCAATTCTTACAAAAACATAAGTCCGAATCATTACAGAACTGTCTAACTAAACATAACAGCATCTCCTGGGTACAGTTTAAAATATCAGATACCCGATTAGTATTCTTGCAATATATGAAATTATTGTAACATTCAATTCGGATGTTACATCCTGAAGATTCCATTCATCTTCAAACGTTCCCCAACGAATCATTTTTGATGTATTCAATGTGTCATATAACCTTACTACTACAATAATATGATTAAAGTCAGCGGTGTGGGCCGTAAGTCAGTTAATATTAGTCATGTAACGTCATTTTTGTGAGCATTTGTCGATACAATAATTTGAAGTGAGAAACATGTTCAGTGCTGATAGATGAAATCCAGAGAGTTCAGAGAAGAATCCATAATATTCATCTAGAGAGTGGCACAGCGGTTAGGACTCTACCGACCATGCACATGGTCCGGGGTTCGAGCCCACGCCGACGCACACTGATATCTATGGTCGGCCTGCGAAATTTGGGCTACCGATATCCACGCTGAAAATTCCATACTTGTACCAAAAATACAGTGTGGAATCAAGCTGTAATCAAAAATTAATTAATTAAATTAAATTAAAAAATTAAAAATTAATTAAATTAATTAAAATTTATTAACTATACAAATAGTTAAATTAACAAAATGCACAGTTTTGCTTTACATGACATTCGCTGTAATTTTAATCTGTCGTTGACAATATTTCATTTCCGAGTGATGTGAGCACTTGCTTGTAAAATCCACTCACTCTTAAATGTTAAAAACCACCACTGTGTTCACCATATCAAATCCATCTAACTGAAACTGACCTATTAGTTATTCATTGAAATTGACACATATAGATTCAGTGAGGAGTATGATTGCTGGGTAGAATATTATCATTTCCAGAAACTTTCACTCTGTTAGACATAAGAATAAAACGTTTTAGAACTACAACTTCATGCATCCAGAAGAGTGAAGTTAGAAAAATAATAAATAGCTCACTCGAATGATTGTTTAGAAAAATTGAAAGTGACGACATTGAATCTTGTATGTTCGATATTTATTTATAAAGGTTCACTTAATGATTGCTACTCCACAAAATATCTTTGTTATAAAGTAGAGAAACAGAATAAGCATACAAAACTACATGCAAAATTTGATAAAAAATTCAAATCGAATTTCTTCTGGACTGATACCAACATTTATTTATTTAATGTACGAACAAACTCTTACAAGTTGATCATGGATTGATATCAGTAAGAGAACTATTGAAAACCAGGGAGTATTGGGCAGCTGTTTCATCCTAGTTTGAGAATCGTCGACAGTAGTTACCCCCTCCAGGTTTCGAACTCATGATATTGCTCAAAAATGTAATCGGCTTCAAAAGGAATTAGTATGTTTGACTGTTTCATCACTATCAACAGTAGACATTAACGTATTTTCACACATACTTCGTGTGTAGTTGCTGCTCTTGAGCGTTAAAATCGTCTTACTGAAATGTCTGATTGTCTAATTCACTCACCAGTTTGACAAAATATCTTTTCAACATTTGACAGAATGCAGAAGTAAGTAATTTGTATCATAATATCAATATTTATTATGATGATAACAGCGACGATTGCTAATATTATTATTATCTTTGTCAGTCAATTCCATTTTTCAGTTATACTTCACCACCTCGTCAAGTGATGTATTTTGACGCATCAGTGCAAAACACAAGAACATAAAACATCCTTTGTTGACCTCATAGAGTTTGTGCCGACGGAAATAGCTAACCTCACATTACCATTAAACATTAAATGAAATCCAAAGAATGGCATGTAAAATTACCCCTAATTAGGTCTGATACAGTCTGCTGTGTGCGATTCCAAGTGATTCAGCATTGTACATCAAAACAGTTTGGGCGCAACTCGGAAAATGAGTCGAATCATTGAAACAGCCATCTGATGCTTAGTGAATCTCCACTGATGTAGTTGAGTTCTTTCAAGTACCGTGTACCATTCAGATGCACATAACAACTTCTAGTGTAGTGTCCACGAAAATTAGGCTAAGGCTAATAAATAAGCTTTTCATTGTGTGTGGTCAGCCTACTTGAATCTAATTGAATGGGAAGGAGACTCTGAAATATTACGACTTATTTACATATACCTTTTTTCGTCTCTCACTGAGAAGAAAGCAAATAATACATCCCGTGTCTCGATGAGAAATGTGACCATTTTTGTGAAATTTTGCATGACAAAAAGACATCGTTTACACTATCATTTATGGTGAAGTAAAATTATTGATGATATATATGGATATCTATAGATGTTAGTCGAAAGTGTGCAATAAGAAGATTTACTCAATTTTCGACAAATGAAACAGAAGTAGCCGGTGAGTCACCTCACACACATTGTGTGAACATTCTCTTGAAATTTTTATATAATGTTGGCTACACTGTATTCGCGAAGATTTCATCAGATATCCATTTATCAGGATAATTATGAGGTGCAACAGGTAAAAATGGTTTTTAATTAGCGTTCCTATTTTCCCTGGAATAGAATGATAACAGATAAAGACATCATGGCCTACTTTGTGAGATCCTTTTTAGGCAAAATGGAACTCGGATGCCGTCAAGACTGAGATTTTGCAATACACTGACCACAACAGATTCAGCGTCATTCAAGAATAAAAGATAAATTGTAAATGTGATATCCTCAAGGTCAAGTGCAATTTGTGCTTACTTAAGTAAAGTGCCAAAGAACCAGGGGTTTAGCAGGGTGACAGAAAGCTATGATAGCAGAAATGTATTATATGTATAGCGTCGTTGGCACCGTGGTAGAATCTCACTATCCATGCATGTGGTTCGGGATTCGATCCCCGCCTGACACACTCCTTTACCTCGCTAAGCCAGTTATAATACTGGTAAATAGGAAAGATTAGGCGCGAGGCTAACAACCCCACCCCTTACAAAAATAAACACCACTGTTCCTAAAAATTCAAGCCTCTAGGTTGAAGCCCTATGTTCCACTGGAAAAGTAAAGCAATAAGATAAAAAAAATTATATGTGTCATATGTTTTTCTTGAATATAAATAGACTACTCATGAAGAATCAGTGGTTATAAGCACTTTTTGTTATTTTATTAGGTGGTGTGTCGAATGCGATTGAGTAGTTAAAGCATTATATTATTTAACATGACAAAACAGGCCAAGGGATCGGCATACTAGTGATAGAATTCTGATGAATTGTAACAAAGTTTGCTTGAATCTCTGTCTATAATGTGGTATTTTGTAAGCAAGACTTATGCCTTAAGTTAAAAATTCCACTGAACACAAGTGAAATTCCTTTGCACGTCAAAACACGGAAAATAAAGAATCATTTTGCTATTAGGGCTTACTTGTAATTGCTGAATAAAATTGTTGTATAGGATCACATAGATGTTTCCAACAAAATCTTATGCTGACTCTTTTAGCCTCAAAGATTTTAGAACGTAAGTATAAATGAAATATAAATTTATAATTTGTAAGGCCCATTGATTAACGAAAAGAGATTGCTTCATGTGTCATTTTATTTACCTAAATTTTGGTTGTGTTTCTGCGAATCACATTCAGTTTCAATCAAACCATTATTTCCACGTTGCTTGAATTGAAAGAATGTACTTTTCATGTTAAATGCCATCAACCGCAAGTAATGATTAGTGAATATGGTGTCTTTTGTTATGACCTATAAACAATTCCTCAATGAAGAATTATTTGCAATGCAGGCTATTCTTCAACATATAATAAAATGTCAATTACCTTGCAGTTTATGAAGGTGTTTAAGCACCAATAAAGGTTTGTATATCAAAGAAATATTATTTGATCAAAGTTATTCCAATAATCTTTCATGATAACTCACTGTCTGCTACAATTATTATGAATGTTTTAGACGTAGCAGGTATGTCTTTCGAATGTGTATACTGTTTACGTGGATGATTTGCACCCGTCAAAACATCTTTTCATTGCTTGCCTGTAAAGAGACTTGCATTTAGTATGCATTTTACACTATTCAATCTATTAGCAGTCAAGTTTGCCTGATTGCATCACAATATTTATTTGAAATAATTATTCTAACTGATTCTTAAATCGAAACTTTTCGTCTGAGCAGGAAAGAAAGAGAACCGTATAATAATTTTCACATTGAATCGAACTCTCCCCATGTGTATCACTCAGAAGATATCAAATAAAATTGTCTGCATACATCTCAGTGCATATTTAACAAAAAAAGCTAGAATAGGAGGTTTTGCAGAATAAAATGGAACTATCGTTTATTTCGTTGACTTTTCATCAAATGCTTACATTACGTTTATTTAAAGAAACAGTTTTAACATACTCACACAAGGAGTTCACCAATAATCACTTTACGCCAAACAATAATAACCATACACAACGTAATTTCTGGGCATTACGTGACCAAATGAAAAAGAGGATGCGGACATCCAGTCGCCAGAGGGAGTAAATAAATATATGAAGTAACGAAAAAATTATAACTTGAATTAACAGTTTTGCAATTCACTTTGTAGACGATCAAACGAAGCATAAAGGTAATTTCTGCCTTATTATGAAAACATTGATATAAGTATAAACCTTGGGCACTGTGGTAGAGCATAACTCCATTGTGGATAAGATTTTATTTTGATAAATCACACAGTGTTACACAGTAATATTAACGGATGACGTTTCGAGCACAAACTATGAGCACTAGTTTGTGAGATGCTAACTGAAATCATTATTTATTCATGTTATCAACACATTGAACAGATGACGAGAAACCAACCTGTAAGTGAATAAGTTATGTCTCTTAACACTAGATTGTAAAATATCAGTATGCTTATTTTATTCATCAATTTCGCAGTGGTGACGCAGGCGACTGAGTTTGTATCACGCGCTAATAATTCCTTCATATTATGCCACAATTCCCTTGGATTCCGAATGAGACAAATGGCTTCTCTCTGCAGTCATTGTAAGCTGACTCTACGACTGCTCATTGACGTTTTTCATCTGCCTTATAATATCTTAAGAGTGTCATCATTGTTCCTCATATAGCTATTTCTGACGCTAGTTATACCCTTGAACCTGGTGGACTATATCTTTCAAAAGTCCTTTCACTATGCGCTTCATGCGTCCCCGTTTCTTCGGCAAATTTGTGAGGCAATATTTCCTATTTGGTTGATGGTTGAGGGTTTATACGACTAAGTATTCCTGAATATTTTGCTTGAAATCAACCTAAGTGCTATCCCACCTCAGTTTTCGCATCTGCTAGTTTCTCTTCTTTGAAAGCTTGACAAGAGAGCATTTCTTTTCATTTGTAGGTACTTTGCTTCACCTTCAAGCTTACTGCAATGGTGGTACCACGATGTCAACTTAGTACTCATTATCCAATTTAAAAGCTTCAATTTCTGTTATCTTCCAGACGCAAGTGAAGAGTCATTTTTTCAAACTGTCTATTCTTTCTTTTCTAGAGCAGTTATACAACATCATTTTCAGATAATTGTAGTGTTTATCCATACAGGCCTCCACAGTGATGTAACACAGTGTCTACTTTGCTTCGATTGGTGTGCTTTGTGGTTTCGTGTTTCATTTTCCAGGTGGTGAACCTGAGTTGACGTCTGTTTCCAGTTTCTTTGGAGCTTTCAAATTGACCTTCCGTCTGCATCTACGATTTCATTAAAGGTGCAGAATTCAACGAAGAGTTCGTCATTCTAATTCATTTCGCTGAGAGCCTCACGACTCATAATTTGTTTTATTCCTGTGGTGTCTGCTGCCATTTAGGTGTTCATATCAACTACTAGAATTGTAGTGCTACACTCCATGTTGGAATCTTGTCCAAGACTGTTCAAATAGATGCTGTTGGTGAAATCATAATTGTCATTACCTCAGTGTACTTATGATTGTCATTTGAGTGACTGGAGTAGAATACGGATCATCCAAATAAACATTTGGACGGCTCCCATCCATTCCATATGCATTAATGCACTGTTAATACTCCTATGCAAAACAATTCCTCTGGACTCCGATAGAACTTTACAAGTTTCCACTTTGTCCGATCATTCTATGTGCCAAAAGTTATTATCGATTGAACATACATCGGTGAACTGGCTTCTCAAACGAAGTATTTTATCACTTCGCATAATTTCGCCTTCTCTAATCAAGCTAAGAATACATATTCATATCCCATTTGTGCTATGCAGTTTCTGCACAGACTGGGTTGAAAGTTTGGAGTAGGGTCTCCTACTTCACGCCCAACCTTCTCTCTCTATCTGGGCTCAAGATAGGCTACGGGACAAGTGAATACATATATAGTCAAGTTATCGAAAGTGAAACGTAAATAAAATTAGCTTTCCATTTAATTCAAGCTGTTTGTTGTATGCTATGAATATCTCTTCCACTAATTTTGAATAACTGATTATATGTGATTCTATTGCTGAGACCTTATTTGAAAATTTCTAATTATCCTCCATTTCACTCGTTTGTGAGGGCATGCTAATTTCCTTAGTGTTTCTAAATGTTTACAATATGCAGTTGGTGTTAAGTATTTCCTAATCCGTGTTGTATAAGAAGTAGGTAGAAATGTAAAGGTCAACAAATTTAACGTGGATATTTCTACTGTGAAAAATACGCAAATATTCTTATGGTGCATATGAATTGAGGTCACTGGGAACATGAGATGAATTGAACTTCTACAAATACTTTGATATCACTTTATCAGCCCAACTTAAAAAGTACTCATGTTTTCAATTATTTAATCCTATTTCATTGGTGACAGTTGGCTAGAATTTTGTCTCGTTCAGAATATCTCCAACTGTAAAACTTGAAAATAACTTTGTGTAGCGATTTTCAGTATTGATTCCTGGAATTTCACCTCTTCAGGCTCAAACATTTATGCATGTAAGTATGAACAGTACACAGTATTTTACTTGCCATATGATTTGACATTAAGATCCCCAATTCAAACAGAAAAATTGCTTTCATTGTTTTTCATGTCTGATACTGGCTAAAGACCGCTTGGTTTTATGTTTAAAAAGTACCTATCTCTGCTACTAGCATGACAGTCAAAAGTTCTGTTCAAATTTGTTCAAAATATTTCGTTAATTAGGGCACATTCAATCTCAGCAAAACGTCATTCGTATCTTCCTTTCTGTTGAAATATCAACATTAGTAAAATTAGAAATCCATACAGTATGTGCCGAAATTGCATATTGATTTGGGTCGAATAAATCGGAAAGACAACATTCTGCAAACTGTACTGCATATACAGATTCTGAGCCAGTTTGTTAACACATTTTGCTGAATAAACATTCATATGAAGTCTTGATGAACGACACTATCTGTAAGTCAAAAAGTACTTTCTTCGGCGTTGTCGAGGGAGAAGCTTTGAGTGAACCTCTGTCTAATTCTGACCAAATAATAAATGATATCAAGGAAAAGGGTTAAAGGAATAAAAATTTGTTTGAAGTTGAAGTTTGAAGCTGCAGCCTATCCGCCAATACTATTTTATGAACTCTGTTACGTATTTCATCATGACGGCAATCAGAAATTGTCTCGTTATTGTCGCCAGTTGAACACTTCTCAAATGATCATTGACTAAAAGTTATTGTGTGTATGTGTTGTAATTATCTTTATGCCGTTTATACCAAACTTTGTGAGCATATTTTTTTCCTTCAAGTAACTAACATCACTAGTTCTACCAATTCCAGTGAGTGGTTTGATCATGATAATTTATGTCTGTTACTGTATTGTAATGATGATGTGGTATTCCCAAAAGATGCACATATAAAATATAAATTACCTGCAAGCTGTACTGCTAACAGCTTTCTATTCAACTTCATCATAGATGTGTTAATGGACTTAACCCTAAGTGACTTCAGCGACTCAGGATTGACTTGCTACCAGGGAATAATCTCGTTGACTTAGAATATGCAGACGATATATTCCTTCTAGGCGAAGACGCTGACAAAATGCAGAGTCTTCTAAACACCTTGAGCAGCAATCTACGAATGTTTGGTATGCGATTCGCTCCCCTTGTTAAATGCAAGATGATGTTACAGGACTGGACTACATCGACGCCTAGCTTAAAAATAGGAAATGAAGTGGTAGAGCACGTTGACCGCTTCACTTATTTGGGAAGTTCCATCAGCCAGTGCCAACGGGTTGATCTCTGACGAAATCTCAGCACGAATACAGGGGGCTCGTTTCGCATTCGCCAGTTTACGCCGTCTCTGGCGTAATTTTAAAATTTTAGATTGAACGTGTATTTGAGCTTACCTAACTTCTTTTGTCTTTCTTTTTTCCTTCACGTTGTCAGTGGAACATAGGGCCTCAATCTAGTGGCTTTAAGCTTCTTCTAGCAGTGTTTATTTTACAGGATGGGGTTGCTAGCCTCATGCCCAACCTTTCCTCTTTTAGATTCAGATTTATTGGCTGAGGATAGAAGGCTTGCAGCCTATGTTAATCCTTTTCAAGTAGATTTCTGTGGTTGTCCAAACCCTTCTTGAATGAATCAGTTGAGGTTCCAGACACCACTTCTTCTAGGAGTCGGTTCCAAGAGTTTATGACTCGATGTGAGAACCAGTACTCAACAGATATATGATTTATCCCTGGCTTTTGAACTCTCCTGCTATGTCACCTGAGGTGTTCCGACTTGATGAGAAGGAAAAGAGAGAATAAGCCAGGTCCGTAGTCATTATTTAAAATTTTAAACATTGTGATTAAATCTCCTCTCTGCCTACAGTATGACAGTGAGAAGAGATTTAAACTGTCTAGTCTTTCCTCGTATGATAAATTAGCTTTACAAGCATTATTTCTGGCTTAGCGAGGTAAAGTAATGCGTCGGCCGGGGATCGAACCCCTGACCAGGTGCATGATCCGTGAGAGTCCTAACCGCTTTATCACCGACGCACAATGTAGTGTTTTGTAGTGTTTCACAAATTTGGTGTGAAGAACAATAAGTATTGCTGCTACATACACTGACACAAACAGTCAGATGTATCATCGCACTAATTTACTGATTCATTCTAATGCAAATCAAACACTGAAATTAGTTATTTCAAAATTTCCTAATATATTACTATTAAGACGTTAAGCTTTCATCTTGTCCCTAACTATGCTATTCTTTACAATAGCAATAAATCTACTCAGCTCGCTCTTTTACGAGGTGGTACTCAACAAATGAATATATGACATGCATATTGTGATGAACGAAATAGCATTACATCCTTCAGTATAAGATGTTCACTCCCAGTACGCTTTGCTTTTCTCGAGGTTGGTCAATAGAAGTTTCCTAATACTTCCAAAATTGAATTCGTTTACTATGAGAAATAGGTAGTAAAGTTAGCAATGACACATTTCTACCGTTAATTTGGTATTTCAGATGGTAAAAAATGAAGTATGTAACTTGGATTTATTATCAGCCTCTAATATTTATTCAAGTTTTCCGTTAAATCACAGCAAACTCCGAACTAGCAATCAGTGTGACGTGTCTAGTCCTTAATTTGGTGCAGACTGAATTCTATCAGTCAGATTTTTATTGTGGTCACCATTCTAGGTAGCTCGCCATCACACTTAACATTGATTTGATGATATAAGATATTTGGAGACAATCAGCCAGAAGAAGCCTTGTTTGACCTAGGTTTCGTGCTAGTTGGCACTCATCGGTCAGCCAGGCGTATCTGCAACCTTGAAGGAACTCATGTCCCTTCTGAGATTCAAAACCGCGTCATCCAGTGCCGCCTGTAGTCAGAGACGTTACCACTGAGATATTTAGGCTGGTGATTGACCCCTGTTGGACTGTAGTGGGTACTTTGATTGGACGCTAGTAATTAGTGTGACGTGTCCAGTCCTTTCTTTGATGCAGACTGAATTGTGTCAGTCAGGTTTGCAATGTGGTCACCATTCTAGATAGCTCGCCATCACGGTTAACATTGATTTGATGATATTAGATATTTACAGGTCAAGACATATAAGCCAACAATATTGTTTTCAATTAGATATGCGTTAGTGGCAGAGTGATTAGGACTCTCGTCAACCATGCACATGGTCCGGGGTTTGATCCCCTGTCGACGCACACCTGATATCTATGGTCGGCCTGCAAAATTTTGGCTACCGACATCACATGCTGAAAATTCCATACCTGTATCAAAAAGTACGGTGTGGAATCAAGCCGAAATCGAAAAAAGTGGATCTTCTTCAGACTTTACTCTAATTTACATAGATTTATATACAAAAAGTTTTAACCGATGACGGCGATTTTGTGGATCACATAATAATTATCATTATCATTATTACTACTATTATTATTTGATCCACAAAATCACCGTCATTGGTTAAAACTTTTATATATAAATCTATGTGAATTGGAGTAAAGCCTGAAGAAATTCAAATTGAAAACAATATTGTTCGCTTATATATCTTGCTCTTCAATTAAAAATGGAAATATTTAAAGATTAAGAGGTCAATCGCGAGCCCAAATAGCTCAGTACTAACGTCTCTGACTTCAACTGGCACTGAGTGACGCGGGTTTGAATCTCAGAAGAGACATGAGTTCTTTCAAGTTTGCAGATACGCCTTGCTGATTGATGAGCGCCAACTAGAACGAAACCTAGGTCAAACAAGGCTTCTTCTGGTTGATTGTCTCCAAATATCTAATATTATCAAACTTCACAAATATTTGTAAACGAATATTTCTCATTTGCTACTGACTGACACACATGCATCTTGTTTGTTTATTTTCTTCAGATACGTTGCATCACACGCTTAAGATGGCTATTATTCAACCAAATGAAATATTGTCATAATATCGTCTTGACATAAAAACGCTACTGAATGTTACTCTATGATTTATGTGTTTAAATTGTTTTTTTTTTAATAAATACTTGTGTTCTTCTTCATCACGATTTTTAAAATACATTTCCGTCAGCTTTCCATGAGTACGTATTTATTTTCTTAAATTTCTTCGGTAGAAATCACATAAAAAAATTCAGAATCCATATTTTATGGGCTTTGATAAAAAACATAAAAGTACTTTAATAATATATCACAAAATCAGAAATACTTTGACAAAATGGCAAATGAGGGGAAAAGTGAGTTCTGACTGGAAGCTGTAATCAACAAAGTGACGAAGCTGTTAGTCTGATATGGAAATTCGAAAAGTGACGTATTTCAGTCAGACATTGAGGCAAACGTATTTCACATATCTTCGACGTTTCCGATAAAATATAAATGCATATCATTCTTGAATGTCAGCTTACATAATCCCTCTGGGGTAAACAATATAATGCATGTTTCTGAATGGAATCAGAGCAGGAAATTCACTAAGTGAACTAAATAGACTCACCATGTGAAATCGGAATAACTTAAATGCTTATCTAAGGAAAGTGACGTGATAACTGCCATACCCAAAGTAGTCGCTGATAAAATGAGCCGTTCCAACACTGATGTATGGCTTAATAAAATATCTAACTTCTTCAGAAAATCTACCACACAATGTAAAAGGAAGAAACTTTTTTTTTGATTTACAGCTTGATTCCACACTGTATTTTTGGTACAAGTATGGAATTTTAGCATGGATATCGGTAGCCCAATTTTCAGGCCGACCATAGATATCAGGTGTGTGCCGGCGTGGGCTCGAACCGGACCATGTGCATGGTCGGCGAGAGTCCTAACCACTGTGCCACCGACGCAAACCGTAAACCTTAAAGTTGTCATAATATCAGGTAGACGTCTTCTATGTGTCGAGTTATTGGCACAATTCCAAAACGAACTAACTACTTTAAATACGGTACCCTTCAGCACATAAAAATAATCGAGAGTATATACAATGAGATAATAATTATCAACTATCGAAGCAGATATATTTATGGACAGTCGGGGAAACATTACTCTTAACACAACTTTTAATCCTACTCCGAAAATATGGTGGAGATATGTGGATGAGACTTTCGGTATTAAAAACAAAACATATCTCTAGCTTCTTGACACACATAAACTCAATAATACAGGGAATAAAATTCACATTTGAAGCGGAAAATGAACAAGGAGAATAAGCTATGTTACATTGTAAAATAAAACGGATAGAAGGAGAGAAACTCCTTACTATTGTTTATAAAAAACCAACGCATTCCAATAGATATTTAGACTTTAATTCGTCTCATCCGTTAACTGTTAAGGCAGGCTTAGTTAAGTGTTTAACAAATCGAGCAGTAACACTAAGTAGTACAAGAAAAGACCTAAATGATGAAATAAAACAGATAGAAGAAGCGTTGATGTTAAATAACTATCTTACAGAATTCATCAGGAAGATCAGAAAAGGCCAAAAGCAAAATAAAAATATTTTGAAACTAGCAATAATAACTCTTTTATGGATAAGATTTATCACAGTAAAATCTTATCCATAATAGAGTTAAACTCTACCACGGTGCCCACGTTTCATACTTATATTAGTAATAACAACATAAATAAGACAGAATATAAGGCATTTATAGCAGTTATACCATGTAAGGAGGGGACATCTGAGACCTTACGTAGGATTCTCAATTAAGCAGGAGTTAGAGTGGTACTTAAACCCACAAACTCACTCAGGGACAAGCTCTGTAGGCTAAAAGACCCCGTGGACCCGATGAAACAAAATAACATAATTTACGAAATGCTTTGCAGTGACTGTGACGTCAGCTACGTAGGTCAATCTAGTAAATCAGGAGTAGTGAGATTACCAAAACATAAGAATTTAGCTAAGTTTAGAATGGTTGATCTCACAAAAATAAATAGTTTAGAAGAAGCTCAGCGATTTCACTGCATGCAATAACATACAACCACACAAAATTCTAAAATGTGATCTAGGTAGGGGGAGAGAGATTGACTGCTACCCTGTCCAAGTTTCATACTTATAACAATTATACTAATTTCAAATTGTGATGTATCTTAGTGGAATGCTGACAAAAGTAATATTATAGTGTTCTGGCAGATTTGTCTAGTAATAATTTACGGTCAGTATTAAGTAACGGGCGATTTACTAAAAGGGAAAAAAGAAGGCATCATGTACAGAAGATACAATTCTTATGCACTAATCCAGTTAAATGTGAATGACACTTAGGATCGTGGTTAAGAACAACAGTATAAACTCATGATACTTATTCGTCGTAAAGAATATAAAGCTGACTATAACTGAAACAATAACAGTGCCCACATAAGAATGGAATTCATAGTTATTGGTAAGAACCCGCGAATAGGAGGTGAAAGGTAGATTATCTGATCAGGAAGAAGTTAAATAGGTAGACAAACTATATACATTGATATGTCGTTGTTATACACTGAACAAAGCATAGGCGAATGGACTCTAAGATTGGTTTTTTAGGAGTTAAGTTGATCTGTGTATCTGTTATTCACAGTGTTTAGTTGTAATCATAACCGCTTAGATTCTAAAGCTTCACAGCGTTCTACATCGAAGTGAATTAGTACGATCGACTGTTTATGCCACATTTCAAAACGTCATCTCACACTGTAAATTTTTGCTTGGTGACGAACAGTCGACAAATACGCAGGCACTACGCCAGTTTCGTGACAGGTCTCCATCATCAGACTTCTTTTCTGCATGCTCCGTATTGTGGGAAGCTGGCCAAATCATGGCAGATTTCTATCTAGACAGAGAAAACGATTGACCTTATGTTTGATATGCGCCATAATTAATCAAAATGGATGCAAAGTGAGTTCTTTTGGGAGTATTTAAGAATTTTTTTTGTTTGACTGAAAATGAAGTTCAAACAATATTATTCCTAAACTCTTATGAACACTTTACTCCCTGTCCGACCTACATTTTAGTGTGTCTAATATCTGATACTTGTTCACTATTTCTCAGGGCGCCAAGGTACGCCACTAATCGTAAATGAAAAACTGATTTGTGGATACCTAGAGGTTCATAAAATTTAGCAGGACGAAGTCTCTGGTGACTACGGGAATGATCGGAATCATTCAGGTTTCCGTTTTCTTTAAATAACAATGACATCAGTCCATGCTATGATCTTTTTAAATGTTAATCTTGTGATGACCGAAAACGTGTATTTGTGTCACAACTTTAAATCATTGATTACGGCGCTTCCAATAACTGACTAGATTGACATTGCCTAAGTTGGGGCTTACTTCAAATATAATAACGCAAGCCGTTGTGGTTGCATACGATTTTGGTGCTA